CAAATGCCCTGCAGCTGAAGGAGCCGGCTGTGGTGGAGGCGCCCACCCACGCCCGGCGCCTTGAGGCTGCACTGCCTGGCTTCCACTGCCCCCACAGCCCCCGCTTTCCCCGCCAGGTACTGGGGGGGGCAGCTGGGGGAAAGGGTCGCTTGGGCTAGGGGGTTGTGGGAGTCCCTGTCTCTTTGAGGGGTTGTGGGGGGGTCCTAGGTCTCCTGGGGGGTCCCTTGGGGTGCTGGGGGGGTCCTAGGTGTCGGGGAGGTCTGGGGTGTGGTTGGGCCCTTGGTCTTTAGAGGGGGCTGGGAGGGTCCCTGGGGGGGGTCTCTTGGGGGTTAGAGGAGGGTTTCCTAGCAGGTTCAGTGGGTCCTTGCTCTTCTGTGGGGTGTTGGGGGTCTCCTTGGTCTCCAGCAGGGGTGGTGGGAGATCTTTGTGGGGGACAGGGGGAGTCCTGGATCTCCTATAAGGGCTGGTGGGGTTCTTGTTCCCCTCTCTTGCCAGCAGGGGGAGGGGGTGTGGTGCAGGCTCCAGGCTGACCCCCAACCACTTTGCCCCCTAGTATGCAGTGCTGGCAGGGGGGCGGGCAGCCGAGGCAGAGCTGGAGCAGCTGCAGTTCCTGCTGTCTGACCAGTCCCTGCTGCTGCTGCCCCAGTACCCCCAGCGGCTGGAGGTGAGCCCCCCAGTACCATGGGGGTCCCCAATACCACCAATGCCTTGAGGAGCTCCAATACCCTCTCTAAGCTCCCCTCTCAGCCCCCAGTACCCCCTAGTCTGCCAGGCCCCCCAGGGAAGAGCCCCTCAGCCCCTGAGTACTGGCAGGAGGGCAGTAGGGGATCAGGGCTACCTGGGTTCTCTGGGCAGGCGACTGGGGGTTGGGGGGTGGGAGCAGGGAGAAAGGCTGTGGGATGCCTTGGTTTTCTGGGAGGGGAGTGGGGCTGGAGGATAAGAGCAGGCAGGGATCAAGCTCCTGGGCACCTGAATTCTCCAGGAAGGGAGTGGGGCCAAGGGGTGTTAGAGCAGGGGTCAGGGCTCCTGAATATCTGGGTTCTCTGGGAGGGGAGTGGTGGCTGGGTGTCAAAGTAAGGGGTCAGGCTCCCGGATGCTTGGGTTCTCCAGGAGGGGAGCAGGGCCTGGGGTGGGGCTCAGGCTCCCGGCTGCCTGAGTCCCCTCCCGGACGCCTGGGTTCTCCCTGCAGGTGCTACGGACGCTGGGCTATGTGGAGCCAGGGGGGGCGGTGGGGCTGGCGGGCCGTGTGGCCTGTGCCATGAGCAGCCAGGAGCTGGTGCTGACTGAGCTGGTGCTGGACAACGCGCTGACCCCGCTGCGGCCTGAGGAGGCGGCCGCCCTGCTCAGCTGCATCGCCTGCCCCCACCCTGCCACTGCTGAGCTCCAGCTCACCCCCGCCCTGCGCCAGGTCAGCTTGAGCCCGGGGCTCTTCCCTGCTGAGGGCAGGGGCCCCCAGATGTCTGGGATATTTTTTGCTGGGTTTGGGGGGGGGGGTGCAGGACACCTGGGCTGTCCTGAGATGAAATGTCCAGATGCCTAGGTTCCCTGGGGTGTAAGCAGGGGGAGCTGGGAGCTTGGACACCTGGGCTCTCTGGGAGGTGGGATGTGAGCAGTGGGGCCCAGATGCCTGGGTCCCCTGACACATGCCCCACCCCCATCTGGCAGGGCCTGGAGCGGCTGCGAGCAGTGGCGGAGCGTGTAGGGCAGCTGCAGGAGGCCTGCGGGGTGCCCGAGCCCCTCGACGACTTCGTGGCACAGTTCGGGCCTGGCCTCATGGAGGTTGTCTACGACCCCGCCCCTTAGGGTCCAGAGGCCTCAGCATCAGGGCCCTGCCCTGCCAGCACTGACCTGCTCCCAGGATCAAGACTCCACCCCCCAGGTGGCCCACCCCCCCTCAGGGGTGCCCCCTCACCCCCAGGATTGGGGTTCCACTTTCTTCCCAGCATGGTCTCCACCTCCTGGCAGCCTTGGCCCTGGCCCCACCCCCTGGATGGAGGCCCTGGCCCTCCTACCCTGATGGGGCTTCCCAGGACCAGGACTCCAGTCCTCCAGCACCCCTCTTGCACTGACCTCACCACAACACCCCCTGACCTGTGCTCCCTCCCCCACAGCCCTTTGTGGAGCTAGCACGCCTGTCAGCGGTGCAGGAGGGGGCCGTGGTGCGTGGGATCCAGCGCTTGGCTGAGACCTGCCGGGATGTGCGTGGCGCTGCCCGTGTCATTGGGGACCCCACACTGGGTGCTAAGATGGAGGCGGCTGCTGCTCTCATCAAGCGTGACATCGTCTTCGCTGCCAGCCTCTACACCCAGTGACCCCTGCCTTCTGGACTGTGACACTTGACCTCACCTTGAGTTCCCATCTGAGACTCCCAACTTCATGACTCCTGAGCTGTGAGCCCTGACTTCACTGTGACCTCTGATTTGACCCATGATCTCTGAGATCTCTGCCCTTGCTGTCACCTCAGAGCTGACCTTCAACCTTGTGCCCCCTGACCTTGCCATGATCTCTGGTCCCAACTCAATCGTAATTCCCAATCTCTGACCCCTAACTCTGGCAGAACCATCTGTCAGTGCAACTTCTGACCTTGGCATGACCTCTGGTCTCAGTGACTTCCACCCCTGCTGTGATCCCATCTCTCTGACCTGTCACAACTGGATTTCACTGGGATCTCCAACCTCCGACCCTCCTGATTTCACGACTACCACCCCACAACCTCTGACCTCATTGTGACCCTAGCCCATACCCTGACTTGCTTTCTCAATTTTCTCTGTGACCCTAACCGTCATGACCTGTGATCTTCAACCTGACCCCGTGGTGTAGCAATTGACTCCTGTCCCCAATCTTATACGGACCTTTTCTGAACCCCCCCCTCTAGCCAATGCCCCCCCCCCCCCAATCCTACCACGATCTGAGCTATGACCCTGATCTTATCGCAATGTCCAGCTCCTGGCCTTGCCATGACTGCCAGCCTCTTGCCAGCCTCTTGCCCCCCACCCAGTCTTGCTGTGATCTCTGACCTGTGCCCCCTGGACTTGCTGTGAACTTTCAAACCTGGGATCTGCGACCCAATCGTGCTCTCCTGCCCTGGGGACAGAACATCTCTGGCTTCAAAGATCATCTCAAATCCTGGTGAGCTTTCATCCCTGGACTTGGGTTAACAGCTCCCCTCTGACCTTTGCTGCCAATCTCTACATTCAGTGACCTCTGCCCCACTGTAAGCTCCAGTCTCTGACCCCCATCTGGGGGAAGTAGACACCTTTGCTGCTCTCTGACCTCAGGGAAGGCCTTGAATCCTGGTGACCTTTCACCCTTGGGCTGGGGTCAACAGCTCCATTGTGAACTTTGAGGTCACCAGGGTGAGTTTTTTTCATGAACTTTGATCCCCTAGAAGCTTCTCAGTCTCCAGTGACTGTTGACCCCCCATTGCGGTCATTGGAGTGGGTTTGCCCTCTAACCTTTCATCTCTGGACTTATGGGGGAAGGAGCTAGGCATGACCTTTGACCAGCTGCTTCTAGACCAATAGGGGAGCAGCCCTCCTCCCCCCATGGGGCTCCTGTGCCTGAGAGCTCCCCCTGGTGGCCTCTTGGGGGGGGGGGGGGGACTTGAGGGGGTCAGAACTGTGCCTCCCACCTACCTAGAATATCTGGGGCTAGCTACAGCTCATAATAAACCCCATCTTGAAGCCGTTGCTGCTTGGTGCCTGACTGGTGTATGGAGGTGGACAATGACTGCTTGGTCCAGCTGCCTGAAGGTAGGACAGGAAGCCCCACAACCTGCTTAAAACAATCCCCAGTGGAATGCCTTCCCTGCTGCTTGTGGCCAGAGCCTTGGCCCCCCCCCGGCTACGGGGCAGATACTTGAGGAATGGGGTGCATTGTACATGGGTAATTATGGTACACCCATCTCCATCTTCTTCCCTACTCGGCTACCAATCCCAGTGTCTAGCTACTGGGGCTGGGACCCAATCTGCAGCTTGTGGGGGCAGCATCTTTGGAGTAAAGTCCCACTGTTCTTCCTGATTATTGTATTTTCCTACATAAACTTTTCCCTGGCCACATACAGACATATGACAGAGGCAGACACTGGAAGCCTGGGCAGAGGTGCACACGGACATATTTGTACGTAGATAATTATAGCACATCTGCCTGTATATCTCTAGCCTTGCTACCAATCCCTACTGGGATCCAATCCAGGGGAGGGTGGGGGTGGGACATGGACCTCCTCCTCTTCTTTCCAGTTGCCATATTTTCCCATCTAAACTGTCTAGTGAGAGGCAGAGCCACAGGCAGAAGCAGCCTGGGAACAGGGGCATGGAGGCAAATTGGACACAGATACTTAAAGCACAACCACCTGCACCTTACCCTATTAGCACTCCCTGCCTCCATGTCATAAAGCTCCCAGCCAATCTGGCACCTTGGAGGGGTGCCTCCAGGACAGGGATCCTACCCTCCACAAAATTACTATATTTTTCCATCTAAACTTCTTCCCAGACCAGAGGACTTAAAAAAAAATGAACATGTGGGTACATCACATGTGGGTTATTCCAGTATGTCCACCCTGCCTTTCTCCTTACCCTGTTACCAACTTAAGTCTTGCTCATGTGGCTGGGAACTAAGCTGGAGCATGGGGGCAGAGGAGCAGGATGTCCAGGGTTGAGGTCCTGCCCCATCCAAGTTACCATATTTTCCAACCCCAAGAGGAACAGACCCAGTGAGACAGACAGATGGCAAAGGAGCAAGCTGGGGTGTTGTACATAGGTAGTTAAACAGTACAGGCACTTGCCTTCCTCTCTACTCTGCTACCAACCCTGTCTGGGTCATGGGGCCAGGAGCGGCTGTGTCTCTGGAGCCGAAGTCCCACCCTAGTTACTGTATTTTCCTGTGTAAACTGCTCCCTAGCTAGAAAGAGACCTACAGAGACAAATAGACAGCAAAGGCGTGGGGGTGGCTCCGTCAGCCCCCAAGGCTTTACTGGGGGGCTGCCAGGTTGGGGGGAGCCTGGGGGGGCTGTGGGGGGCTTGGGTCCTGGGTCAAGGCCTCGGTGTACCAGGTGGGCAGGAAGTTGTAGTCGGAGTCACGGTGCCGGGTCCAAGACACATGACAGCCAGGCTCCCATGCGAACAGGGTCACCAGCCTGGCAGGGGGGCAGAGAGGGTGGGTCAGAGGAGCCTGGATGCCTGGGTTCCCCCGAGGGGGGCTGGGGGACCCATCCCTGGGAGATGAATGAGGGTTAGGGGTGTTGAGAACAGGGGCTGGGAACCCAGGTGCCTGGTTCCTTCTACTGCAGCATGCGGGTAGAGTTTGGGAATGGGGTCCCTGGACACCTGGGTTCTCCCAGCAGGTCATGGGGTAGGGATGGGTTCCCCTGAGATCAGGCCCCCAACCCCCAGGGAGGGTGTAGGAATGGAGTTCAGGGGAGAAGTGGTTCCGAGACCACTGGGTCCCATGTATGCTCACCGGGGGTCGTCTTGGGTCACAACGTGAGAAAGGAAGTCCAGAAAGGCCAAGGCAAAGTTCATGCAGGCAGCCGGCTGCCAGGCCCCGGGGTCATCCTGCAGGGGGAACGGGAGGGGTCAGGATCAAGGGTCACTGCAGGTAGTGGGTAGTGGGCAGGGACTCACCCGCACAAGCTGGAACATGGCAGCCGTCTCGTAGGTCTCCAGTGCAGCCACGGAGCCGTCAGGCTCTCGCAGCCCGGTCACTACACGTGGCACCCCAGGCAGGAATGACTGCGCCCACCACTTCAGCAGCTTGCGCCTGTGGAGGGGGGGTGGGGGCTGTAGAACCCAGGTGTCCAAGCTCCCAGCCCCCACTGCCCCAGAACTAGAGAGAACTGAGGTGTCCAGGCTATCCCCCCACCCCCACCAGGAGCGGAGGAAGAACACAGGCATCCGGGATCTCTCACCCCAACCCCCAGTATCTGCCTGAGGTGGAGAAGAAACCCAGGTGTCTGGGTGTCTCATCCCCACAGCCCTCCAGGTGTACCCCAGAAGTGGGAGGGTCAGGGCTTCACATAGTGTGGCACGGGGCAGGGCCTCACCAGAAGACATGAACCTGCACAGGGTCATAGGTAGAGTCAGGAGTCAAGAGCTGGGGTCCACTAGAAAGCACTAGGTGAGTGAGGGATCAGGTGGTGGGGTCTCACCAGGACACGCAGGGCTAGGGCAGAGACTAGGGAGTGGAGTTAAGGGTTAGGTCTCTCCAGAAGATAGGGGGCTGGGTGTGATTAGGGTCTCACGGGAAGGCATGGCACTGGGTGGGGGGGTAAGAGAGTGAGGGACCCTGGACAGGGTCAAGGGGCAGAGGCAGGTCAGGAGGCAGGGATGAATTGGAGGGCATGGGGTAGTGGTAGAGTCAGGGGTCACACTTCACTGGAAAGCTCAATGCTGGGCAGAGGGTGGGGCTGGGCTCGGGTCTCTCCAGAAGGCAGACCCTGGGAAAGGTCTTGGTGGAGCCAGAAAATGCTCCACCCTTGGGTCATGGGTGGAGCCAGAAAATGAAGAAAGTACAATGCTGGGCAGGGTCAGGGGCTGGAGCTAGGGTCAAGCTTCCCCAGAAAAAGGCGGGGGGGGGGTCAAGAAGGAAGGGTCAGAGGCTCACCAGAAGATGTGGCACTGAGTAAGGTCAGGAGTAGAGTCAGGGGTCAGATATTACCGGGGCTGGGATGGGCCCTGGACAGGGTCAAGGGCTCACCAGATGATGTGCTGCTGGATGGGGCCAGGGGTCAGACCTCAGAGAAAGGAGCGGCACTGGCCGGGATCAGGGACTCACCGGAAGGCGCGGTGCTGGGCAGAGACGGTGGGGGTGGCTGTGGTCTTGAGCTCGACGTAGCGGGTAGGGGCAGGGGCAGGGGCGGGGTCAGCGCAGTCCACCTCGGCGGCGAAGAGCAGCGAGTGGGGGCCCAGGCGGGCGCGCAGCACCGTGCAGTAGGCAGCGTTGGTGTTCACCACCCCCCCAGGTGCTGCACCGCCCCCCGCCCGCTCTGCTGGCACAGGGGGGGGAGGGAGGGTCAGCCAGGACATCTGGGTTGTCTTGTGGGGGAGCAGGAGGCTGGAAACCCAGATACCTGGGTTTGCTCCAGCACTGGGGCTTGAAGGGTTCTCTGGGGGGGAAATGGGGGCTGGGGGCCCAGACTCCTGAGTTCTTGGTTGGGAGGAGGAGGCTGGGAGCCCGGACGCCTGGGGTCTCTCCAGCACTGGGGCTGGGAGGCTGGGTTTACTGGGGGGAAAATGGGGGCTGGGGCCCCAGATGCCTGGGTTCTTGTGGGGGGAGGGGGGCTGGGGGTGAGAGCTGGGGGACTAGGAGCCTGGACACCTGGGTTGTCTTCTATGCTGGGGGGGGGGAGAACAGGGGAGCCTAGGAGCCCGGACGCCCGGGTTCTTTCCTGAGGCACAAAAGGAGAACGGGGTCTGGTAGGTTAAAAGAGCATTGGTCTGGCGCCCGGGTCCTTTCCCAGCTGTGAGTGGCCTGTGGGGAGGAGCAGGGGGGAGCAGGGAGCCCAGACACCAGGGTACTCACCAGCACACATGTACTGCTCAAACTTGTAGCCCATGTAGATGAGGCGCCGCAGGTCCTCGGACCGGGCCAGACGCTGGGCACGGGCGGCCACCGTCTCCACCTCGCTAACGTAGATGGTGCCACGGAAGCGGGTGGCAGCCAGAAGCCAGCCCTCACGCCGCTCGTACGGCGTTGTCACCACTTTGGTGAGGTGCCCACGCCATGTCACCACGTCCGCTGCCACCGGGCGCCTACCAGGGGGAGGGGAGGAGCGTCAGTAGGGACCAGGGTGAACAGCCCTGGGCTCAGGCGCTGAGTGCTCTGATTTCATGCCATCCCCCCAGTGTCTGAGGGGGCACCGCTGACCCTCACACATGCTCAGCAGTTGCCAGCTGGAGTGGAAAAGGAATGCTGCCATCAGTAGGGACCAGAGTAAACAGCCGTGGATCGCAATGGAGGCTCCAGGGCTGCAGGTCCTGCCTTCACAGCACCCAAGTGCCTGGGGGGACATCACTAACCCCCATGTATTCTCACCTGGTGCCTGCTGGGGAGGGAAAGGTGGGCAGAGCCATCAATAGGGACCAGGATGAACAGCCTCAGGTGGGACTGGAGGCTCAGAGGTAGCAGGCTCCACCTTCACTGTACCCCCTAGTGGCTGGGGGGCAATACCAACCACGTAGGTGGTGCCTGCCTGGACTGGGAGGGGCAGAGCCATCAGTAGGTCCCAGAGTGAACAGCAGTTTAGAAAACTCCTTCCCAGGCCCACAGCACCCCCAGGGCTGTAGAAGACCCTAATCACCCCCCGCCCTAGGGCTGTGGAGGAACCCATTCATCCACCACCTGCCTACCCACCTGGCACCCCCAAGGCTCATGGAGGACCCCATCCACCCACCCCCCACTCCCCCTAGGTCCCTGGTCCCCATTCATCCACCCTCCAGGCTGTGGCAGACTCCATCCACACGCAGGACCCCAGCTGACCCTTGGCCGGGGCGGTGGCCAGGCAGGCGGCACCGGTTGGGCCGGACCCCGAGCAGGCAGGAGG